TTGACCCAAGGTGAGATCTAAAACCTGCAGGGACACCGGCCCTCGTGGACTGAGATTGCCCACCCCTGGCCTAGAGACTGGTCCATTAGACTCTATAGCACAGGTGTCGAACTCCAGGCCTCGAGGGCCAGTGTCCTGCAGGTTTTAGATGTGTCCTTGATCCAACACAGCTGATTTAAATCGCTAAATTACCTCCTCAACATGTCTTGAAGTTCTCCAGAGAGAATCAAACTAATCATTTGTTTCAGGTGTGTTGACCCAGGGTGAGATCTAAAACCTGCAGGACACCGGCCCTCGAGGCCTGGAGTTTGACACCCCTGCTCTAGAGCATCCTGTGTCCAAAATAGGAGACAAGTTAAAGTCACATGACATGTCATGTGACTGAATACCCAAATGTTCGGGGTTTTTTTGTTTTGTTTTTTGCATTAATATTTTCACCTATTTATGGGATAGAACAAATCTAGTTGCTTAATTGTTTTACTAAACAAAAATAGTTACACTACATTATGTTAGTAGTTGTTGTAGCATTAGTCTGGCCACCCACAGTGCACATTTGGCCAGTTTTTTAAGTGAGCACGTAAATGTCAACTCTTGTGGTCGATTGTGTTTAACATAGAAAATGAAATATTCAGAGAAAAGCAAAATACAGTAAGTATAAGGACACAATGATCTACACACCAAACAGCTTTTGTTAAAGGATTTTTTTTCCTACGCTAACATTTTAGAAACATGCTCAAAACGTGATGCCGTATCACCCTCGTTCCCGGGAATTCTAAGAGACATAATAAGCTGCAGGGATGTTCTGTGACCTTCTCTTTGACCTTCTCTCTTTTTACCTCTCTTAACTTTCTGTCTCTGTGTCCACCTGTGTCCTGTTGGTGCGTGGGTGTGCATGTTTGTGTGGCATGTTCCCAGCCCCATCATCTCGGTCTCGCTGTATTAATCTATCTTTCTTTTCTCTTTACACTCCTCCCTCTCTCCTCCTCCTGCTCCTCCTCCTTCTCCTTCTGTAGCTGCGTGAAAATGCTCAACCTGTGGTGAGTCCCTCTCTGCTCGTCCACATCAGACTCATGGGACAGGGAGTGGACCAGCCTAGGCTGGGCCCAGTGGAGTTATTTACAAAATGTAACCAGACTCTCACTGGTGCATATTATATAGTGCCCACAAACACTGTCAGCTGTGTTTACTGCCAGGTTTCTGCCCGTTTTCTGCATTTAGTAAACCTTGCTGCCTGACAAACATTAATAAATAATATCAGGCCAGAAAGAAAAACTCAGTCTTTTTAATTGTGGCTCCTTTATAACTAAACATTTGACTTTAGGTTACAGCCTTTGTGCATGGAACATCACTATTTGTTAAATATTAAATGAATCTGAGGGTACCCAGTCACTGTCCTATGTCCTAATCTGCTTTTTTCTTGTCTTTGTATGTTCTTATTAACCGTTCAGGCTCACCGTGTCCTGTGACTTTTGTGTTCACTGCTTCCTTTTTCATTTATTTTTAAAGATTTTACCTAGGAGAAGTATTGCCTTCAGAGTCAGTTTGTAGTTTTTGTTCCTCTGCCATGTCTGTTAAAATGGTGGGAGGTGAATACGCAAACGCTTGGTGGATGGGAACACATCCATCGTGTCCATGTTAAGGTGTTACTGAGTTCTTACTGTTCTGATTTAAAAGACAAAGTAATAAGGCTCAGATGAGGCTCCTGTGATATTTAACACACTGCTGTGTTTGTTCTTTCTCGTGCTTCATCTGACGCTTTTCTCATCCACGCGCTCATTTAACGTCCACGTCTTTCTGCAGGTGTTGCTGTTTCTTCAAGCGGAAACGGAAGAAGAACACGCCACGGCAAAAATGATCACGCAGCACCAGCCTGAAACGTTCCAGCTGTTCGGCTCAGTCGATTGTGATTTTATTAGAAATCAGTAAGGTCCCGTTCAGAATAGAAGAGGGAGTCATCTGAGAGATCTTGATTGAATTGTTCTCCGTTTTTTGGACAAGTTTAAAAACGGTTTGCTGAGATGTACAAGATGCTTGTGTCTTCTTGTGGGATTTTTTTTTTTTTTTTGTCCTTTTTCTTCTTCGCCCTCCACCCCTCTGTCAAGCTGTGCTGGGTTGTGTTGCAGGTCAGTCGGCCAAATGGGGGAAAAAACCTTTCTGATGGAATTTTGCAGAGGATAATCTTTTTTCCTTCCTCCCCCAAGACTCCCAACATCAGTATTTTTTTTTTTTCCTCTTTTTTCTCCTGAAGAGGAAGAGATGGCACCTCCTGTGGAAACTTGCTTCACTACGATTCCTGCTTGACTCATAAAATCATCAACTTCAGTTCCCTTCTAATCTCCTAAATGCATCCTGCCCTCAGTTTGCAAACTCATTATGACACAAAGCCCTTTATGATGATTCCTGATGTAGGAACTGAATGTAACGCAAGAAGAGCCAAGAGTGTAACCGCCTATCGTCACATACAGGCACAAAGAGCATCAGTCTGCCATTTGGCCTCTGCACGTTATATTTTTTGTTGTTGTTGTCGTTTTCTTTTTTCCCCCCGTCCTCCAAAGAGGTCAACTCTGGCACTGGGACGGGGCCTGAGACATCAGAAAACAGAGACGCCTCGTGTACAGTGTTCTCTGTGGATGATTTCTGCTCATGCTGCTTGGTTAAAACGCTCCCCTTAACCTCGCTGCTGTCAAAACACACTACAGTCTCTTTGGACTCTCCTGCAGTTTTTGTTCCTACCCTTCGCTGAGCAGCAACATGACACTTGTAGATGCAGGGGGTGGAAAAACAAATGCTATTTATGCTATTTATCTCTCGGTTTCCACCTGTTTTTCCTACTAATTCTTAAACATACGCACTGAATGTATGGACAGTAAAATAAATGACTTTAAAGCATTTATATAATCTGTCACGTGCACGGGAATGAAATTGCAGTTGGGGAGCTGAGACCAATGTTTAAAAAAAAAAAAAGAAGAAAAAAAAGGTGACCAAAACTAGGTGGGAGGGTCTTAAATGTTGTTGATCTTGTAGACATTGGGGGATGCTTTGGAATAACATGAGGAAAAAGTGATGTGAGGCACTTTTGGAGAATCACAGCCTCTGAAACGCTTCTGTCCAATGCCTTAACCCCCCGACCAACCTACTGACCGACCAACCGACCGCAGTCACATCACCACTTGGATGACACGTTGGCGGCATAGTTAATGTGAGATTTCAGTGTCTTTTTTTTCCCCTTCTTTTCTTTTTCCCGTCTCGTCCCCTTTTGGGCATCCTGTGTAATAAAGAGTACCAGACTGTTCCCAGCTAGTGTGAGAGCAGTTAACGACTTCCCCTTTGTTGACACACTGAAGATGTATTCCCAAGAAAGTGATGCCAAATGGAACGTTTTGGTGTAATGATGTGTAACGGTGTTCCAGATGTCCCCCAGATGTCCCCCAGATGTTCCCCGTCCCCCAGTTACCCTTGTGCGTACCAGTGTGAAGACCCCACGTGCTGCAAAGTGGTGTGTGACGTTTGGACGACTGCTGAACCCCCTTCTCCTTGTCAGCACCGGGAGAGGAGAAAAGAGGGCGGAGAAGTGAACGTGTCTGTACCATTCTCACTCTTTTAGTGTCACGGAGGACTGCCTTGAAACAAAATCCTCAGTACGTCACCTTGCCTATCCTCCTAACAGAATGAATTACCATATGTGTGTTCTTTTTCTTTTACATTTTACATCTTATGCTAATGTGAATTTGTTGAATGCAATTTTTTTTTTTCCATTCATTCCAAATAGCCATGGTTTTATGGGGAAAGAGAGGTTAAACAAACAAACAAAAAAAGCTTGAGACCATGACTGCACTACATTTGTTGACCCCGGCTTTCCCTGACGAGACCCTGCCTTCTTAATACTGTACTTTAAATGTGCTTATTACTTTAATTGTAGCTGCCTCGTGTGCTAGGCCTTCCCTATAGGGTGCAGGGAATACACACACACACACACACACACACACACACACACACACACACACACACACACACACACACACACACACACACACACACACACACACA